CCTCTGAACCCTTTATCCATTTTCACACCTCTGTTTTTACATGTTCTGCTCTATCCTTCAGGGACTCCTTTCCTCCCTATCACCCCTCCTCCCTGCAAGACTTAATCTGTGCCGCCTCTCCTGGAAAGCCTTTCCTGACACCTACCTTCTCCTGCTTGTCTGAGTTACATGTTCTTCCTGTGTATTCCCTGTAACATCAGTCCTTACGCCTGCTGCAGCAATGACACTGGGCTTTAAACATTTGTACAGCTGTTACACAAAAGAGTGTAAGCTACTTCAGGGCAGGGACTAGATCGTATTAATCTGTGCCTAGCATAGAACCTATAACTTTAATCAGTGTCGGATAGGTGGGTGAAAGGGTTTTTTAAATCTTTTAACTCCTAATAACAGGACATGTGAGTAAAATCTAGGATGTATTGCACATTGGAGGTTTATAGTCAGAGAGGTGCCCAAGATATGAATAGAGTTTATGATGAAAAATTATTGGACATTAAGTAAGTTTACATTAGCAGGAAAAATGTAAACTATATGTAAGTTGAACTTCAGGAATGTAGAATGGAAAACACCTATATATTTAACTAGATGTGATGTTTTCTTTCTTTTTTTCTTTTTTTTAAGAGTTGCTGGATTTCCTATCGGCATTGCTCAGATACCAAAGGGGTAGGTTTATGTGCTCATGTCTTTCAGGTTGGGAATCAATGATCATAAATTTTTAAAAACTTTCTTAAATATCCTAAAATATAGAACTGCTCAAATTTACTATAAAATTTGGCAACGCTAAGTCTCCAGTGCTTATTTTCAACAAGGAAACTAAGAAAGAGTCTTTCCTACCTACAGATCTATTCTGTTAGGTATATATTTTAACTTTGCCTCTTTTTTTTTTTTTTTTTGCTTTCACTTTGCTTCAAATTGGGTGTGGTCTTTGGTGTATGACATGAACAAGGCCTTTTATGTGTACCTAAGCTGCCAGACATTCTTCTTGGTCATAGAGGTTTCAGCCATTTTAAGATGACATTCTATCTACTTGCACCACTGAGTGTGGACTGGTGTGCTGGCACCATGTGGAGAACCACCTTAGTGCTCTTTATATGATGATCTGCTCCAGAGAGCAGCCTCTACTGGGGACTTTCTATGAATGATCATCAAATCCTCATAAACCTTGAAAAGCAGGTATTCTTATCTCTACTTTACAGATGATGACACTGAGGGCCAGAGGAAGTAAAATGACTTGCCTATGGTTATAAAGTTGGTAAATACTGGATTCTAAATTAAGAATATTTCTGTCTGATTCCAGACTTAACTACTACACTACAATTAGTATTTCTGATTTTGCTTTTTAAAATGGAGTTGTGGTTCACAGAAAAAAAAGAACATAATAAAAATCATACTTAGTTCAATTTTCCATGTTTGTGTGTCTTAGAGTGCTTCAGACTGCTCTAAAGGCTTATGACAGTACAGCTCCCAACACAGTGGTATCAGGCCCTATGGAAATAGTAAAATTCAACACATAATGTGTTTCTTCCTGGAGCCCAGGAGTTCATACGTTGTTTCCCTTTATCTTCGGTGCTCTGTACTGGCAGCTTGCTAGGGCATAGTTTGCATTTTGTAGACATTTACATACTATCAGGTAACAGAGATAGTAATGCTTTATACTTTGTTCATTTTCTCTTTATCTGGAAATAAAAATTATTTGCCATTTCAAACATTCCTCCCTCATTTTGATTAAATACTAAAGTGACATGTTTATAAAATGAAACTATTTAGATAGTTTATATTCATAATATTATAGGTAGATCAGAAATGTAATCAAGTCCTCATCATTTATTGGAACAACTTTGAAAATGTTCAAGAGAAGTTTGAAGCAAACATCATGTACTATTTTGAAAATTAATGTGAAATATAAAAATATATTATCTAATTTTATCTACAATATAATTCTCAGTCATTCTCTACTCCCTGAATACATTTTTATCATACATATTTTTGATATAATGAAGGTTTATACAACATTGCAAACTTTTCTGAGTTATAAGTAGCTGCTTTTATTCATTCATTCACATCTTCATGCAGTAAATAAAGGGCCAATTCTGTGGCACACCCTGTAGTAGATACTGAAGTTGCCATGATGAATAAGACAAGGTCTTGGTATTCAAGAAGTTCACAACATAGTAGGAAAAACCTCACCCATGATAAGTGCTGTAAAGTTAAAATGCAGCATGTGATGGGGAAAGGGAATGGGTGTTACAAGAAAAGAATCAACATGCCTAGGTACTAAGGCAGGAAAGAAAACATCTGTAGCCTTGCTTAGTGGAATTGAGGGTTAGAACTTGAGACACAGAGTTATTGGTAGGAGATGGAATAAGTTTATTATTCTGGTCTTTATTCTAAGGTCAATAAGAAGCAAGGGAGTGGTGAAATCATAATCGTATTTAAGAATTCCTTCTGTGTGTGTGTGAAGAATGGATGAGAGGTCACAAGAGTGGAGGCTAGGAGTCTAGAAAGCTATTGTAGTGTTCCAGAAAAAAGATGACAGTTTTAATTAGGATCCTGGCAGTAGAGAAAGGAAGAAGTAGATTCATTTAAGAATTATTTAAGAAATTGGGTTGATGTGTATAGGCTGATGAGATTGGACATGGGATGAGGACAGTGATAAGTCAAATCAGGTTTATGGCTTGGGAAGCATGATAGATGAGGCTGTCATTCACTGGAATGGAAAGTACTGAAAGTAGATCCCATTGAGTGGGAGGAAAGATCAAGGGTTCCATTTGGATGTGTTGGGTATGAGGACCTCGGCCCACCATTTGGAGATTTAGACAGCCAGGTACAGACTCCATACAGCAGATCAGGGCTAAAAGCATGACATTAGTAGCATGAAGGTGGTAGTTAAACCCATGAAGATATAGGAGGAGACGGCCCACTGTGATTATGTAGCACAGAAAGATAAGAGGGTGAAGGATGGGGCCTGGAGTTCTTGGGAAGGGCAAGGTGACCTCATGAGGAGGTATTCTGAAAGGCTGAAGGCAGTTGGCTATTTCAGGCTCAAGTTTAGGAGAAAGTTCTGGGCCGGAGCTATAGCAAGTGACATTTAGAGGGTTGTAGAAAGCATGAGAGCAGAGGAGATAGCCTAGAAAATGAAGTTTTTGTATCATATTGTTACTAACTTGGTCACTAGAGGTAGAGATAGTCTGGACAATAATCATTTCTAAAAAAGAAGACGGGGTTGGGGGGTAAAGCGCAAAGGTAATATTTAAATCAGAGGATGTGAATATACAAAGACTATGCAAGATTTGTTCAGGCTGCACCTGGATTCCCTTTCTATGAACCCTACTAAAGTAGTAATGCCTCTTGCCCATCCCCATTGTAAACATATTCCTGAGTGAGTCCCTGAATCAACAAATGTCACCCCTGCTCACACCAAAGTTTTCTTGTTGGAAAAAGTATGCAGCTAGGCAAGTTTGTCTAGCATGATTTCAGTCTTGTGTTAGAAGTTCATGCTCCAAGGTCTTCAAAGTCATTCAGCCAAGAAGGAACTGTGATGTCCATAAGACTGAAGAGCAGGAGAGTGGCCAAGAGATGACCCCACCTGTCCTCACTCTCCTTTCTTTGTTCTACAGTAATATTTTTCTGTTTGAACATGTGGTTTCTGTTTTAAGCAACACATTCTACCAGTAAAGACAAAAAGCTACTCTGTGTTTCTTACGTGAAAATCCCTCAATTGGAGGTGACAAGGAATAGCTCCCTTGGTTCAGTGGAAAACTGGGGGGCAGATACTTCCCCTCAGGCTGTCCCAGCTCCGTTTAGTCTTGTCTATGGTGGAAGCTATTAAAAAGATAAGCAACTGCTTTTCATTTAAGGTCCCCCCTCCATCTTCACTTAGCTGTGATTAATTTTAAAAAAGTCTCTCTTCAATCTCCTGAAAACTTTCCAGAGCAAGCTGGAAATAAAAACCTAGATTGTTTTCCACTGAATAATGTTTCATGTCATCCATCAAAGGCTATCACAGACTTCCAGGGAGTGTACTGTCACCAAGATATTTTGTGGTACCACAAGCTTTAGAACCAAGTTTATCAAGTTTATGAACACATCACAAAGGTTGGGAAAATTCCCTCCAAATGATTCATCCTCCCTGAACCTGGACTAGGGTTTTCAATGCTAAATAACAACAATAATGTTAAAGGATCTTTATTATTCAAAAAATAAATAAGATAATGACAAGTTCACTCAGGAAACAATGGAGACAGCAGGTAGATACAATAGATTTCCTTTAAATACAGTCACTTCTTGAGGAGGAGTGGTCAGGCTTAGAGCTGCTCTCTTTGTTCCCTCTCCCATTTACCGTGGTGGAGATAGGGACAGGGTTGATATAACTGATTAGCAACAGCCTGACCTGTATATGTGTATTAGAGAGAGAGAGAGAGAGAGAGAGAGAGAGAGAGAACGAGAATGAGAATGAGTGTCAGGAGGGCTGGTAGGGGGCAGGGTTATTCAGTTCTCCACTGCCTTAAACTTTCTAGAGTCTGTCCCCTTCATCAGTGGCACAGGGACCCAGAATCAACCATACAACTAAATGTGAGCTAAGGCTCCTTGTTTCCTTTCTTCATCTTCACAGATAAATCAAATACATTATCCACTGAAAGACACTGCAGGCAATAAAACAAAAACAAAAAACTATACTTGGCTAATTATCTGCTGTTTACTCAGAATTCAATCTGTGCATAATGGCCTTGTCTTTTCACGGGAATCTCTGGATGTCTCTGCGTCAATCAGGTTGCTGCTTCAGAATATAAGCTCTTATGGAACAGGGCCTCTTTGGGTTTCACCTGCCCCATAAGTCACTTAATGCAGCCCTACATGCCTTGGGATGTATAATAAATAGTTCTCCATGAGGAGGATCGTAGGGTTATAAATAGGCAGTTCAACAGGGGGGTGGTCTTAACTGCTTTGCTGTACTATGAAGACTACCAGCATCAGCTCAGTGGCAGCCTGCGAGGTTACATTGTTCAGAGTTTCAGTAAGCCAAAAGATGTGAAGCCAGTCCCATGGCTCACTTGGCTTGGATCAGTCACGTTGACAAACACTGAAGCACCTGGTTGCAATTCAAATACTCCTCCCAAGTGAATGGATTGCTGCCCGCAAGGTTTGGAGGAACTGTGGGTGTTTGCCGCTCTAAGTAAGATTCTCTCGGATCCACTCGTGGACTTCAGGCAGAGGCTGGCTATAAATGGAGCTTGACTTGAAGCTTCCCGATTAGAACAGAAGGTGACTTGGGCATAGATATAATAGAGTCCTTGTCTTTTAACGGCCAGCTGTTTCCCATTTTCGAGGGTTACCAAGTTGTTGCTCATGGTGTAGTATCCTTTTTGAGCCCACTGTAGAACTGTAATGGATAGGAGAAAAATCTGTGAGGTGAAGCATAGTATAGTTCACACTCTAACAAAATATAGTTTAATGTTGACACTAGCTTCATATATGAAAGGAAGTTTTGGGCATAAAGGACTTTTAAGGACCCATCCAGCCTTAAGTCTATGAAGCAGCTATGACTGTCAAATTAGCATTGGTTTTATAGTCAGATGAAGCTGACTTCCAGTCCAAGCTTTATTCAAGCTTGGGCAAGTCAATCTCCCTGAGTTTTAGATTCTCATCTGCAACACTGGGCTAATACCACAGCATGTTTCAGAAACTTGTGAAGATTAAATAAAATAATAGAGCACGGTGAGCTTCCTTCTCCCGTTAGAGTTCTTAAAGCTAATTTGCCCTTGAACTTAAGAAAGTGGGAATGATTTCAAAAGTCCACTTCATAAATTATGCATGCCAAAATATTCAAGCAGATTCCTTGCTAACATTAACATTGATTTCTTCCTTTCCTTAAAATTTACAAAGTCAAAAAAGTTGCTGGTCCACCTAGCTCAGCTTCAGCACAGAGAAAATCAAAGACCCCATTTCTTCCTACCTGATCAAGCTGTTGCAAACCCAACGTACCTCCCACAACAAGGACTAAAATTAGGCAAGGAAGTATGAAAATAAACCTGTCATTTCACTGTGTGTTTTGATCTTCCATTGTAGTGGGCGCCACCAACTTGAAAGTATCTGTATTCTTGTGGCTAAACCGGAGTACCCACCAACAGTGTGCCATTTTCTCGACTGAGATGTTGAGTGGGTTCAAAGTAGTGTGTGCACCTGATCTCAAATCTCAGCTCCCACAGAGAGCTAGATTCTAAGGTGGGGGTTTGGAAGAAGTGAAAATAATTGATGCATTTGCTTCCTTGAGCTTTTGAAAAAATTCCTATTTGGTGGTCTTAGGCCTATCAGGGTACAAGATCCAACCTGTTAAGACTCATCCTTTAGTAACAGGAAAGGCACCAGAAATGTCTGACATTTCTTGGCCTTCCTGACCACTCCAGAAATTACACTTTATTTTGACATTTTCACTTTTAGTCCACCTGACTGAGAAAACAAGTGCAGGTTCTCTATCTTTTAATCCACTAAGTTTACTTTTGTAAGTCTTTACCTAATTTTCAGCCTAACTGTGGGATGTAGGTCAGGTCTTTAACAGCATAACCAGGTAAAAACAAGAAATTTAGGACTGGAGTGGGATGAGGTGAGGAATGTTATTTTCTTTCCACTGGATCCCCTGCAAACCTACTGTGATGCAGATTATAAAATATACTAGGATGAATATCAATAATGTGCCTTTTGGCAGAATCTGAACATCATGAAATATACTCAAGGGCAAGGATTTATATACAGTTGGGAAAAAAACCAATGAGAATCTATTGTTCAAGGAGATATCTCTGTTACTGTTATCCGATTTGGATGAGAAGGTGTTATGCAGATGGCCACCCTGACATGCTAATATAATTGTGATATTCTCTTGTAAGTATATTTTCTGAGAAAGAGCTACGTAGAAGAATTATCAAGTATTGTGGGAATTCTGGTATTAATAAAGGATTTTATGTCAATCTTATGACATCTAAGTCACAGTGAAGAAAGCTAAGCAATGTCACCTTACATTTGTATAGCACTTGACAGTATAACTTTCTTCCACATTAGCTGATTTGATACTCAGAGTCACTCCGTAAAGTGAGGCAGGAAACCACTGCATAGGTAAAGGTACTTGCCTAAGGTCACCAAGCAAGTGGTAGTCATGGTTCTTAAACCTCAGTATTCAAAACTTCCTATACGGCATTCTTACTCCCATACCATGATCCATAATAACCATGTATACCCACTAAGAAGCCCAAACCCCACCTCAGAGATGAGGCTGTATCTCTTCTCCTCTCCCTCTCCCTTTCCTCTCCCCCCATTACCTCCCCTCCTTTCCTCTCTCTCTCTCTCTCTCTCTCTCTCTCTCTCTCTCACACACACACACACACACACACACACACACACGCACTCTGTTTAGAACTCCATTCCAGAGCAGTGCTGAACTTTTTCAAAGACCGCTCTGATGCTCTCAGACTTCATTTATGTAGATGGGGGATTTTATGCTAGCGTCTGTGTTTCCATCCATTTATCAGATACAACACATTCTCCAGCACCAGCTATCAGGAGGTACAGATTTGGGAAAAAAAAGATCTAAGGGCTAGAACAATGACAGAACATATATGGAAATAATATCATTCACAGTTGAAAAGATTACAGTATGTCATCTGTTGTTACTTCATTGGAAAATTTAATGTGCTGGCACTTACTGATTTTTGCAGAATGATTTTACCTTTAATTTCCTTGAGGTTGGCCCCAGTGGGGCTTGGGTAATCATACAGGGAGCCACAGATGGCAGGAAATACCCCCTGAGGCACATTCACACACAGTGAAGAGGCGTTAGGATAAAGGATGTTCCCAGTCATCTCTTCTATGTTATGAGAATAATGGTCCCTCACCCAGTAATTCATCATTTAGAATCAACCATTGGGCAAGAACATAATGAGAACTTTGGGACTGTTTCTCACCCCCATTTGTCCCTCCAAATCCCATCTGTACATTTAAGCTCACTTTGAAGGCAAAGGAAAGCATATGAGAGGTATATGGGTAGGTTTGTAAATTAGGCCCCAAAGAAAGAGAGGAGCCTAATCATTGGGAGGCATTGCATCAATATCCCAGCCTTCCCTCTTAGGTGGTTAATGCTCAGATGCTTTTGAACTTACCAGATGCTGTTTTACTACTGGCCTCACTTATGACGTGCGCTGCAATTTGAGGATCCTGATCACCTGAAATGAAATCAAAAGCTAACTATTAGGCTAAAGTCATACAAAACTGCTCATGAAACTATTTAGTCCAGTTCTACAGAAAGGAAGGATAGAATGGCCTGAAATCCTTCTCACAGCGGGAAAGTTTGGTTTCTAAAGTCTGAAAAACTGAATTGGCTATTTCCACTGATCTTATTTTTCTTATAGTTGTTCAGTACTTGACTGACTCCACTTTACATAGATTGACATAGGCTCAAAATACTGGTCCCCATTAAACATAATTTGAATCTTGCTTTTAAGAACAACTTCCATCCATTGGGAACCTTCGTGAGCCCCAAGGTCATGTCTGCACAATTAGCTAGTAAGATGCTTATGGTGTCTGATTTGGTCAAACAATTGGCCAAACTATTATATCTATCTCTAATTGTTTCTTATGGAAAAGGCTTGCTTCTTAATTAGATGTGCTGATTTCATAAGTGCAAAGTCTGTGGAAGTTTCTTTTTCTTTCCAGTAATGAGCCATGTTGGACACTTTGTAGGTGTCCTATAAATATTGAGTCAAATTGCATGACATAAATTACCAATTTTGTTAAGTTTGTAATTTGCTGAAGACTGCTAGGCAGCCTGTATGATTAACCTCAACTTCCACATGAACTGTTTCCTCAAATTTCACTGTAATTAACAGAAAACATGGTTCCACTGAACATATCTTACAGTCATTCTGAAAACAAAACCTTCATGGAAATCAGATCACCTTTTGCATCTAGACCAATAACTCAAAGCAATCTCTGAGCATTCTCTTTGCCTCAGAAAACAGTATCTGTATTTCTGTATGTACAGAGTGGGGAAAACATAGGTTTACAGTTGTTTGTATGGAAAGTAATACAATAATTAATAAATAATAATACAGGAATAAATTCTATGTTTCATGTACTCAAAACTATAAACCTACTTTTTCCCCACCCTGTAGGTATATATGTATTTATATATATTAAATTTACAAAACCTAAAGAATAATTTTCACCAACTTTGTAATATAGTAGTCTGTCTAAAAACACCCATCTACAACACTTCATCTTTCCCATACTCAGCTATTCAGGTCACTCCAGGCATTGTTGTGTTAGGTTTAGGGTACTATATTCTAAGAGGAACAGGGAAAGTTAAGGTGTCATCAAGAAAAGGAGGTAACTAGAAAAGGAAAGGGTCTGAAAAGGGCGATAGGAGGAAGAATGGAAGGTATTTTGGAGGTTTAGTCTGGAGAAGAAAAGGCTTCCATGATTGCACTTTTCAACATCTGTACAGCTGCTGTGTAGAAGAGGAAGTATACTTTGTTTCGTGTGGCCCCACAGAATAGAACTGGGTCCTGTGAGTGGAGATTACAGGAACAGATTTCAACTCCAGAGGAGAAAAGATTTCTCTCATATAGTATGGTAAACTTATTATAATTATTAGAGCCATTCAAACATGAGCCAGGCTGTTTTATGAGATAGAAAGTATCTAGACACATTTGATCACAGGCCAGATGATCATTGCTGGTGTGAGGGAAATTTGTGCCCTGGGCATGGTGTTGGATTTGAGAACCATCAAGACCCCTTCCAACCACGAGATGTTCAAGATGCTCTGACATCAAGAACAAGGCAAAGAATAGAATGTTGTCACACTGACCCGTTCCTTGATTCTAGAGGCTCCACTGGCCATGGTTCTCCATAAAACAAAACAAAACAAAAACCCTGTTATTAAGCAGTGAAAGCCACTGCTACTAAATGGTCATTTTTTTATCTTGTCCTCTGTAGGTGGTACGAGGCTGTATGATTGCTTTGATTAAGATATTGAAAATAGTGAAATTTAGGAAATAAAGAACAAACTGACAGTGACCAGAAGGGAGGCAAGAATGGGATAATGGGGGAAAGAAGGGGAAGGTGTGAGCAAAGGAACACGAATAGAGGACTCATGGGCATGGACAATGGGGGGACTGACTGTGGGAGTGGGGGGATGGGGCAGGCAAGAGCAATGGGGAAAAAGGCGGGACAACTGTAACTGAACAACAATAAAAATGCATAATATAAAAAAGAAAATAATAGAATTTCTTCATACTTGGTATTGTCAGCATTAAAGGAACCCAGCCAACTGTGCTCCACTTTTATTTCCAGGGCTAAAAGTTCCCTGATTCAACACTGGGTTGTTCAATATAATCAGCCTTATAATGCTTCATTTTACTTTCTAAGTATGCATAGACATTGGTAAATAGCAACATACCTTTTTGCATTTCAAAGTTTTTTTCTTTCTCCTTCACTTCGTTTCCCATTACATCCTGAAAGAAGAATCATTGCAAAAGGTCATTTTGACAGGAACTCTGCTGTGGGGTTTTAGAGGCATCATTTATTTGGCATCGGTCTTTACTCTGTTGCCTGGTTCCCATGAGGTTTATCATATAGATTCAGATCCTGTCATTAATTCCGTTTTATTGATTGAGGGACCATGGCTCTGACAGATGAGGGGATAGCCCAGAAAGCCCAGGGGCAGACCTGGAAGCAAAGTCTGGGCTTCATTATCTCCATTCTAGCACACTTTTTTTGTTTTTTGTTTTTTTTTTAATTAATTTATTTACTTTTTAAATACATTTGTCTCTGCCTTCCCCCCACCTACTTTCCCTTGCCCCCTCCCACCTTCCCTCCCTCAGCTCTTCCCCTTTGGTTTTGTCCATGAGTCCTTGCTATATGTTCCTTGACTTTCCCCTTCCTTTCCCTTTCCCTGCCCCCCCTTCCCTCTTGTCTCTGTTGATTTCTTTTCCTTTCAGTGTTGCTTTATACACTGGAAGCTGCAATATGACTCTGCTTATGACTTCCCTAGTTTTAACAGGTATTGACAAATAATGCTGAATCAGGAGATGATTCTACCCTGGGAACTTATATATAGAATATTATTAAACATAAAGCATGGTGTGTATCTATTAGAATAAAATTTGTTTGAAATCTCTCAGAAAATGGTAACAGTAAGTTTGATCTTGGGAAGAAAGCCCAGAAAACCCCCTTAGGTATTTTTTTTTATTTTGTTGTCCCTTTAAGTGGGCTGAGGAGATTCTCTTGTTGCTGGTTGTGTGCCCTTGTGGGGCTTGCATTTACTATTTAGAATAATCAGCATACATATAGGAAACACAGGTAATCTCCCCATGCTTCTGATGTTCAAAGACAAATGCAACCCTTCTTCAAGAGTTTCTTCTCACTTAGCAACTGAACAAAGTTAGAGGTACTTAAAGACTCTAACAGGGACTGCAATCAACATGGGTCAAAAGATAATAAAGGCTACTGCTGCTATTTAAATATACTGAATAAATAGCCTTGAGGGCTTAACTGGCTATCATGAAGTTACCCAAAGAGACTGAAGCCGAAGGAAAGAGTTGAAACAGTGAGATCACATTCATAGGCCAGGCTTAACTCACACCATCACCATGTTCTGATCACAAGAGAGGAAGAAAGTAGTATTTTCACATCTTCTGATAATCAAAGTCTTGTGCTCCTTCCTATTGCTGGAATCAATTTTCTACAGGGCCCTTCCTTTTCATTTTTCCTCTAGAAGGAATTAATGTTGTGACTGTTGAGTGTCTTCTTTTAGGCTCAGCTCAGTTGCCAGATGTGAGGGTGTAAGTCACAGGGCCTAAAGGGGAACGTGCACCTTGAAACGCTCACATGGTCTGCAGGGCCTCAACTTTCCACTTTAAGCTGAAGTGTGGCACTGTGAAAGTGCGGCAACAGGAAAATGTTTGTGAGATAACAAGTAAACAAATGAGTATTTAGTGTCTTTTCGAAAAATGGAGTGTGATGATCGAGGTTGAGATACTTTCAAGCTAGGTGGTTACATTGGTGTCAGAGCTTAGCCAAGATGAAAATGTGAAGTCAGCAATGTTTGTCTTTTATGCACCCAACCTTGCCTTTTCGTGAACTTTCCCCCAGCCACACTCCCCAGAGCCTTTTTTCTTGCTGTGTTCCACATTTTAACTGAAAATCTTTTTAAAGTTGACTTTCAGAAAATCTTGGATTAGATATTTCTCTCAGTGGGAACCCTTGTGGCAGTTGTGGACAGATTAACCTTTAATTTGTAAAGGAAATGCTTTGACCCTGTCAAAGACATTTCAGGGGGGGTTGGTGGCCAGACAATCATGGAACTGATCATTCTAGCAGAGGGTAGGGTGAGTAGTAAGTTTAATGTGAATTTACACTATTCACAATGCTTCATAATCCCTGAATCCCATCTTTCCTCCAAAGTGACAGCTTGATGCTACCTGCCTCAGGAGATAATGAGTTTCTTGTTATTAGATGTGTTCAAACAGAGATTGGGGGACAACTAGGTAGAAACTGTGAGGAGAAAACTGAAGTTATGTGTTGATAATTGGATCTGATGATTTCTTCAAGTTCTATTCAGAGTCCCAAAAGATCTGCTCAAGTTCTATTTCAGAGTCCCAAAATTCAAACCCTAGGTTGCTCTGGACCAATAAGACTGTGACCCAGAAAGAAAGACTTAACGTTAGGTAAAAATATAAAAGTCCAATTTGGGGTTATTATGTAGCTGACCTGTTTTTAAAAAGTCCAAATATTTTTTCAGAATGAGAAATTTGGAGGGGGGGGTGGATATTAGAGAGTGGTTCAGTCATTGGAGGAATGTTGGGTATTTGGACGACTTTGTGTCTCAACAGCATGAGTCTCATAGGTACAGATGACATTGACTCGGATTTCATTCCTACTGCCATAGAGACAAGGGGATTCCTCTGTTGCATGTAAGGATCTCCAGGTGACATGCCTGAGAGGTTCTGCTTTTTTAGGATATGAAATTTTAGAGTTGTCTTTTTTTTATACAAGCATAAGCAGAGAGGCCAAACCGGCTGTTTTCCTTACTCCTATTCTGGATAGCTGACCTGGGAAGATTTGCACAGCTGACCTGAAATAAAGCCATGAGAAATTGGCAGTTCAACTGTAAAACTCTCAGTAAGAAAGAGAGAAGGGAAAAATCAGCAGCCATTCTCACTGCCTTTGGAGGGAACTGAAGGCTGATTCTATAATTACAGAATGTCAAAGTTTGTAGTGTCTTTACAGATAATCTCAGCTGTTTTATTTTATAGATGAGAAAACTGAGCTCTAGAGAGGTGAAGTCATTTGCTCGAGGTCACACAGCCAAGCACATTATATATGTTACTGAGATTATTAACCATTGTTCTAAAAGTGGCTTTATTCATATTTAAATTTGCAATGCCTCCCTATACACTGTAATACTGGCCAGAAGCCTCAAAGAACCTGAGAAACTCAAATCATTTTCATACCTCACAAATAAAGAGTTAAGAGTTTTTATCTAAAACCTAGATTAGCATAAAGAACCTAAAAGCTAGCAACAGATTTGAGCTGCATTCTGATTCCCATAGGTGGCTCAGGAATAAGGAAGCTCTTAGTATTTACTGCTGGATTAAATTACACATTGGAGGCAGTATAAGAGAATGCGAATAAGCTTGGAAATAAGATCTAAAACTCTTCAATCTTGGGTTAAATCACATATCATCTATATGTGAGAACTAATTCCCCTTAGTTTGCCAAGATACTCAACCACCTGGCATAGAGATGCCCTCAATGTGGAGTGCTGCCTCCTATTCTCAACCCTAAAGTGGGCTGAGGGCCAAGGGTATGTGACTCAGTGTTCTGAGAGGGAAACATGTAGAAAGACTTCTTGATGTTCTGCTTCAAGAGAAAGAGTGCTTACATCCCTTGTCCATGATAATGAAATTAATGTTGCAGGTGCATCCTCAATAAATATTCTAAAAATTCTTGTTTTAGGTGCCCATTATATGACTTCATCCTGGGTTCCAGCTTGTTGAGCTAGAAAGCTTCAAACTCTGCCCCAGGTCTTGACAGGCCCTAGAATGAACTGGCTTCATGAGCAAGTGGTATTATATGGTATCTGTTTTGAGCGATACTGAGAAGGTCGATCACCTATTCTTCACACCTCTCCTCACAATAAAATAAAAAGATTTCACTTTCATGTCACCTGAAATTCCATCATAAGAGAAGCATTCCTTCATGTGTTAGAATGTATCAGTCTTTAGAAGTCACTATGACCTCCAGTAAAGGCAAAATCTTAACCTGTGACCTCCCAACACTGCAGCGGCTAATGGTTATCAACTCTCTGGAAAATGGGGACCAGACCTTGGGTCCGCAGTGATAAAGCATGAAAGTTTGAATGGTAAGGTAAGAAAGTGCCAGAAACAAACTTGGTATACTTCAAAATTTTCTCAGAGGCATCTGCATGTATGAGCTCATGTGTATGTGTGACCGTGCGTGTGAGATGTGTTTTTCTCCCTGAGAGAGTCTTTTTTTTGTTCTTCTCGAGAACATTCCTATGAATGTGAACACTTCCAACTTTCCATACCCTTCTAACATAGGATTTTGGCTTCATTTTTCCTTTTTTAAAAAATACACAAACGTATGTACTTATATGATGTATAAATAAATGTTTAAACATTTACATTGTCATATTTCAGTTTCCCAGCAGAAGTACTAAAATTTTCAATGACACTTTGACCAACAACTGAGCTCCTTACCTTGACAAAGGTTTCAAACTGGCTTCTAATTTCCTCACAGTTCAGTAAGGATAAGGACCTCTCTCCTTTGTTGCACCTCTGTATCATTTTCATGAACACAAAATCTTCATGAAGATTCCTTTCATCTTCTATCTATTTGTGAAAAAACAGGGACATGAGAAATGTAATTCTGAAAGAGAAGGGCGCTAATAATGTCTACCTCTACATTCACTTCCACGGCATCAGCAATAGGAGGAGGACTTTGCAGATATAAGTCGGAAATAAAAAGTTACTCTGGATTATTGATATTTGGTATTAACAGTTTAAAAATCTACAAAAGCCAGCAACTAAAAATGTCATATTATCTGAAAGTCTAGGTGGAAATCACAGCTATCCTAATAAAATTTCATCACAAAGTATACATTTTTTAATGTATTATAGCAACAACATTCTATAATTACCATATTCCCCATTGCTCCAGTAATGATTGCTCATTATAAGCAGTCTACAAAATAGTCTTCTGTTGAGCTAATTTGCCCACTTCATTTTAGTGTTTGTGATGAAAACATTAATTTTCAATGTATGTCAATTAACTCAAGTTCTAATTACATATCTCTCTTTTTAATTTCAATATTTGCAGGAAACATTTGAATTTTTAAAGAAATAATCTTTTGCTTCCAAAGTTAATGAGATATTTTATTTTCCAATGTCTTAGAATGATATATAGAATTCACTTGTGTAATCATCTAATTCTTTGCCATTTTTCTTGTTTTAAGATTAAATTTTTGAACTCAAAACAGGACGCAGTTAGCTGGTAGCTTTCACTGACATTAAGAGCATACCTAAATGCTATGATAAATCTTGAGTCTGCCCAGGTCAATATTTCCCCTGTAGAAGCTAGGCTTATGTCCAGGCTTTGATTGACAGAGCCCATCAGGCCAAACACAAACAACAAAACCCAGAACCACACCTCTCTTTTCTCTGCAGTGAAATCTAAAATTTGAGTAACCCATTGGATTGCCTCAACCATCACTGTTCCCCCACCTTCTGCTGATATAAAACCTCATGGCCTCAATTTTAGGTAGACAACCCAATAGAGGACACTTAAACAGCCCTGAGAAAATGGAGTCTCCAGATAGTGTATATCCACGAATCCCACATCCAAACTTTTAGGAATGGCCAGATAACTGATCAAATATCTGCTTTTCATCTATGATTGAGATTTTGTCAACACAGCCAATGATGTCCCTGAGAGGATGTGGGTAAGCACATGAAAACGGGATAAATCCTAATGGTAATATTTTTCTGGGAATGCAAAACAACCTACTAAGTTACTCTACTCTTTTGTTCCTATAAGTCCAATCAAAGAATATAAAACATCTGAGAGGGAAGTTTGCAACTAAAATTAACATTTGACCAATTATACAGAGAATGCCACTTTTCTTAAAAGACTGCAAATTCTGAAATTTATCCATGTCTATGCTAATCAGAAGCACTATGAAATTTCAGATCAAATTGATGTTCTTCTGTGGTTGAAAAGTTAAAAGAAAAAAGTTACCTCTATGATAAAAAAAATTATTTACTTTTTAAATGAAACTGTAGCAAATAATTTTAGCTAATACCTACGTAGTGCTTACTTTGTGCCAGGCTTTGTTCTCAGTTCATTACAAGGCTAAATTCATTTAATCAATGAGGTGGATACCATTCGCATTCCCATTTTTCAGATGTGGAAACTGAGGCATAGAAATGTAAATAACTTGCCTAGGATCACAGAGCTAATTAAGGGAATAGTCAAGATTTGAACACAGGCAGTCTGACTGCAGAGCCCAAGTCTGACCAGAGACAAGAATAGGGGGCTTCACTAACTAGACAACAAACATTATGCCACAAGACCATATATCTGTTTGGGTTTCTGCCATTGTCCATTTATTTGGGTAAAGCTAAACCAATGAAACCATAGTTTAATAAGTACCTCAAATTTAGTTAATAAAAGTTTCATCTTACCTTGTCCAATCTTCTGTGAAGATACACAGCAAAAAGTGCGGACCCAATCATCTGGGTGATAAGAAAAGCAGTAAGTAAATACATAAAAATTTTCATACTGACAGGTGGTCCACTGGTCACAGATCGGGGAGAAGGTTGGCTGTATGTTTCGATCATGCTGTGTTAGAGTTGAAATATCTTCTGCCCGAGAAGGTGGCAGAGGCAGCATGAGAAGACTGTCAAAGTGGCCACCTTACTCAGGATTAGTTAAGAGCGCACAATCGTCGCAACCCACACTTCCTGGAAAATGTGCTTCGTAGTCTTCTCTCCCAGCAAAAGTTACGTAAAGGTTTTTTTTTTTTTTTCTTAAATTATACCCATATCATTCACTTCCAGGCTTTCCCTTTTGTTAGTAAAGAAGAAACAAGTTTCTCCTTCCATACATTCATTCTTGCCTTGAAATGTCATAGGCTTCTTAACAGACAATGGCAGTATTTTCCTATTGCTGTCTAAATTTTTGGTTCACCAGTTTCAAGGAAAGTGATAAATTAATCCACCAGCAACAGACATATTTCATTTTCATTCTTACTAATGTAAAGCGGGAACCTGGTATGTGGGGAAAGAAACAAATGTCAACAAAAGTTTGGATTGATTTTATGACTGGTGTGTCACTAGCTAATTGCTTCTCAAGATTTCTTTGACCTTTAAACCCAACAAAATCCCAGCAGCTACTCAAGCAAGACTACATGACATAAAGCAAAAAGGAGTGATGGCAATTACTAAATAAAAGTTAGCTGAAGAGAGAATCCAGGAAAAATACATTTCTCAAAGATCAAGAGAAGTAGGGTCATGAGGGAAATCAGGCCAAAACTCTGCTGTTGAGTTCAGAGTAGGAATATTAGCTTGACTTAGTCAAATTGTTTGTCTACACTGTTCCAATCTATCAGATAATTGACAATGTCAATGTAACTGTTCGGAAAAGGTGAAATATGTAGCAGTTCAGAGACCTGAATTCTGGTCTTTGCTCTACTGATAAATTGCTGTGGATCTAAGGCAAATCACTTTGCCTCTCTAGACCTCAGTTTCTTCATATCTGCCATATCCACCTGCCTTGCTTATCCTATAATTTATTGTAAAGATCAAAAAAGATGTGCATGAAAGATCTTTGAAATGTGTTAAGCAATAGACAAACCACTTTCATCCTGAATTTTTTAAAAATTTTGTTTATCCTAAGATATAACTTTTCCAAATAATTGCAAATTCTTAACATACTAGTAACAAACAAAAGAACAATAATAATATAAAAAACACGAGGTCTGGATAACAAATTGGATCACTGAGGCGTGTAGGATTACGCATTACTGAAAGGCTTTTGCACAGTTTTATCAGATTGCCTTGAAAATAAAAGCAGCTGTGGAAATCTGTATCCCATATCTCAACCTGGTCTAGAAACCATAAGCTTGCTTTGGTGACTCCTATAAAATTGTTTTCAGAGATAAATAGGAAATGTAACAAAATGCTCTGATAGGCATGCTATCTGTAGAGTTAGCACCTGCTCTCTTATCCTCCTACGCTGCTGCATCCTGTCCTGGGCCCAGATCGGTGTAGCTTTTCACTACATCTGTGAAGTAGGTGGCTTCAGTGCACGTGATAAACTTTGATCAGTCAAGTCAGAGGCTTCGGTTCTTAGACAAGAAACCTTTGTTCCACTGAAGGAAAATTATCACGAGAGCAGGCTCGAGGACTTCTCCAAGACCAGTTTCATACAATTACAGAATGCCTTTCAGTTGAAAGGACCATAGAGATGCAGACAATGTCAGGATTTGTCCATGTGACCAACTTCAAAAAAGATTATCCAATCTCCCTCCTTCCAGTTCCTGATCTCTAGCCTTCAGCAGTCTGACTCCTGCCTACAATATTCCCCTGGAACTGCTCCCACCATTATTAGTTCAATAGTTTTTGCCGAATTCTTTCTAGAGTTCATTTTTAATGACCTTTCTATTAGTCTGTTGACCTATTATTCTGTCGTCATCCTTCTGAAAACTCTCCCCTCTTGCCTCTCAGAAAACTTCTTCATGGATTCCTTTTTTTCTTTGCATCCTTTAAAACTTTGGCATTCCCTATCCTCATTCTTCTGTCATCACCCCTCCTCCCTTCTCCTTTCTTCTTGTTCTACATGTTTTCCTTGGGTGAGTCCCATCCATGTTCATAATTTTTAGTATTACCTTCAATGTGACAAATCCCAAATCTATAACTGTAACTCTGAACTTCAGATTTTTTAGTGTGGCTGCTTCTGAGTAGAATATTTCTACTTGGATATCACAAAGCCACCTCACATTTAGCATACTTAAAACTTAACTCAGCTCGCCACTCCACTTCCAATCCAGATCTGTTCTCCCTCAAGTTTCTCCCATATTTCAGTGAATGGTACTACCTCATCCACCTAATTGTCCATGTCAGAGACCAGGGATTCATCTATAACTCCTCCTTCTCTTTTGCCCAGGTTACTCACCAATCCCAGAGGCTTCTTTCTCCCCAAAGTTTCTGGGTTGGCACCATTCTTTCCATCTGCCATGTCAACATTCTAGTCCAGGCCCACATATTCTCTCTGCTAGATTACTGGACTGAACTCTCCTAACTTATTATCTTGCTTCCTTTCTGCCCCACCCCATCCATCCTCCATACTTCCAGCAGAATGTTAATTTTAATTGTTATATCTGACCATATCATCTAATCTGATTTGAGTGCTCAGACTCTGCACCTCCAGGGAAGCAGAATGACAATGTGCCCTGACGTATTTAACATAAATGGATTAGCTCCAGAATCACCTGCTTACATTCAATACTTCAATTCTTGAAGACTCTTCTTTCTCCTATTCTTCTTCTGCCTGGTTCTCTAGCTTGATGCAACAATTGTTTATCTTTCTAGCTTCCAAACTTTACTTTCTGATTTCTGATTCTGTATCAGATGTCTTTTGTGTCAGGACTTCCAATACCTGCCCTTGCCCCAACAAGGAATGGCCTGGTCCTGGTGTTATACCCCTTTTGAAAGTCTCCAGCTGCCTAATGCCTCCAAAAGTGATTTTCACACTTAGTTACCAAGGAATTTGTAGATCTATGGAGTGCATGAAAGTGCCTGCAGCCCAAGTCAAATATTAAACATATTTTCCTTGGTTCACAGAAAGAATTAAATTAATGGATTGAATTGTTTCAATTTTTAGTTTTTCTTTATTTTTTTTTGTTGTTGAAGTACAGTTGTCCCAATTTTTCCACCATTGTTCTCCCCTGCCCCACCCACCCTGACTCCTTCAGTCAGTCTCTACCCTGTTGTCCATTACCATGGGTCCTTTATGCATGTTCCTTGACTAAGACCCTTCCTCTTCTTTCCCCCATTTTCCTTCTCCCCCCTCCTTTCTTGTCACTGTCAGTTTGTTTCTTATTTCCATGTCTCTGGTTCTATTTTGCTAATTTGTTTTGTTCATTAGAGTCTGCTTATAAGTGAGATCATATGGTATTTGTCTTTCACTGCCTTTTTCTGAAATCTGTCACCCTTTTCTACTACTGCATTTCTTCTAACTAGTGATTGATCTGCAGCAAATTAGTATCAAGAGAAAACTCAAAAAAACAACAGATCATATTTCAACAGCTTGTTTTTGATGTTAATGAATCTGCTTGTGGTTGTGATTTTATATTGATAAACTAGATCACAGTCATAGTTTCTGCTAGGAAAATTATTTCCAGTACATATGAAAGAGTTAAATATATCATTTTGTTTGTTCTACAAAGGGCCTCACAAGGACTCTTTTCCCTAAACATGTCTGGAAAAACATTGTGTAGAGGACAGTATATCCATTGTTAGCACAGCACATGGTCTGACCCCTACCCACCTTTCTGTCTTCATCTTTGCAACTCGCTCATGCTCAGCCCTATTCATCAACTATATCAAGCAAGGCTTATTTCCCAAAATGGGCTGTGCTTGCTCAAGCTGTATCCCATAAGCATACTGACTCCCTCCTCTCTCATTCTTTAATGTTGAAGAGATAACCCTTTGTGAAACACCCCCATCCAGCTGATGTGTCCTCGTCTGTGCTTAATTTATCATAGCATTTGCCATATGACATCATAATGGATTTGTCTGGACATTTTCATACCATTAGGTTTTAGAGAAAAGAGACAATTAAAAAATCTCAGAACCTTTGCTTCTTGACACACTGTAAAGAATTAGTAAATCTTTGCCCAATAACTAAATTTTTGTTTAAAGGCATAGGAAGGGAAGTTGTAAAACATTTTAATCTGGTAGAATAGCACTGGTTAGCCTCTCTACTAATACGAATCAGAATATATTTGTTTTCCTCTATTCCTTTAATTATCTCTTTCCTCTGGGATTAATTTTATTTGCTTTTTATTGTTGTTCAATTACAGTTGTCCCAATTTTTCCCCCATTGCTCTCCTCTGTCCCACCCACCCCCATTTTGGTCCTTCTCTTTCATGTTGATAGTTTCCCTCAAATGTCTGATGACCCTTAATTTTCTGGTCACATTTATGAATGAAAAATGATGTTGGGTTTTATGAGTAGATGGCACAGGTTTCCTCCTCAATTGTGTTGATGTGTTTCCCTTGCAAACCTCTCTCCGGAATCGGAGGGCTGACTGTGGGTTCTGTTTAAGTGGGTTGGGCCTGTCAATAGGCAGGCTTCCCTTTAAGTTATGTGGGTGGAGAAGCAGGAAGGCCAAGGACCACCACAACTGATAAAGTAAGGAGGGCTTTTCTCTGGGGGTGGAGACCTGTAAAGGCTTTCACTCTTGACTGATGCTAGTTTTTCTTTTGTTTTCTGTCTCTTGTCTGTTTTGGAAGTCTCAGCACCCTCCCTAAAGCCCTCTACAGGCAGCTTTAACCTGAGGGCAAAGGCCAAATATTGCTGCTAACAAGGGGTCCATGGGTGAAGGGAGAGAGGGAGAAAAGCATCCACCTGTCCTAGGTGTTTCCACCACAGCTCTGTAATAAGAGTTACCATAATGATTGCATCTCAGCCTACCCCTGTTCTTTGTTTGCATTTATTGACTCTGAGATTGGTGCCTTTTGGGAAAGCTCACTCCTCCCTCTGCTTTTTTGAATTGCCATATTTTCTGCTCTGATTTCTCTGTTACTCCAAATTCATTGGCTTTCTTGCTTTGTCAT